TTCTTCTTCTTCTTCTTCTTCTTCTTCTTCTTCTTCTTCTTCTTCTTCTTCTTCTTCTTCTTCTTCTTCTTCTTCTTCTTCTTCTTCTTCTTCTTCTTCTTCTTCTTCTTCTTCTTCTTCTTCTTCTTCTTCTTCTTCTTCTTCTTCTTCTTCTTCTTCTTCTTCTTCTTCTTCTTCTTCTTCTTCTTCTTCTTCTTCTGGAAAGAAAAACATATCGAAGAAGAAAGCTGATGATGACGAAGAAGTCATTTACAAGATTGAGATTCCTGCCAACAGGTGATGAAACCCATCTTCATTATTTTTTTTTAATAATGATTAGATTTTAGTATTTACATACTTTACATCATCGTAGACACGATTTGTTGTGCCTTTTGAAGGGCTTTCTCAAGCTCTTCGCGTTTTCAACAAGAAACAGGAGATGCCAACGTATAGGCTTGCTGATATCGCCAAAGACAAGATGCATAGAATGAATGTTAAATCAGAACAGGTGTGTATATCATCGCAACAACCTTGTTTTGTTTTTTTCGTCCCTGTTGTATTGTTGATGTTTCGCCTTAATTCTGCAGACATCTCAGATTCGCCCTTATGTTGTTTGTGCTGTTTTAAGAGGCGTAACCTTCGATGAGGCTCGTTACAATAGCTTTATCGATCTTCAGGATAAGCTACATCAGAATATTTGCAGGTAAATGTTACTGCCAGATCCTTTTGCGTTTACATATTGTTGCAAACCGTGTGGTGTTCATTTTTTTTGTCACTCCATATATTTTAGGGGAAGAACCCTGGTAGCTATTGGAACTCATGACTTGGATACATTACAGGGACCTTTCACATATGAGGTGACTTTTATTATTTGGTTCTTACACTTAGTCTAATGATCTTGTTAATTTGGTGTCATTCATGTAGCTGAAATGATACAATATGTTTTTTTCTATGGGATTTACGTTAGGCCATTGACATTGTGGCATTTTGCTTCTTGTTTTCAGGCTTTGTCACCGATGGATATAAATTTTGTGCCTTTGAAGCAAGTAAGTTTACTTTCTCTGCTGCTAATTTATGTATTATGTTATTCTATTTCTCGTTATAGCATTTGCACCAACTGATATATGATTTTGTTTCTCATGTCTTTTTACTTAATAACATCTTTGTTAAAGATGGTTTCATGTTGGTTACCCTTGCTAATATCAGTTTCTTTGGTGCAGACTAAGAGCTTCAGGGCTGACGAACTAATGGAATTCTACAAGGTAAATCATGAATGAATTTATATAAACAAAAAACTATTATTATTCTGGCTATTATGAGTCTGAATATTTACTAATGACTGTTTTATTTTTGCATTTTTTCTGCAGTCAGATTTGAAGTTGAAAAAGTATCTAGACATAATTGAGAGCTCACCAGTCTTCCCGGTTTTATACGACAGTAAAAGGTATTTAGTGGTTATTAGCAGTAAACCATGTGTGTATCAACTAAAACTAATAATTGATGATCCACTTTTGCAGAACGGTGCTGTCATTGCCACCTATTATCATATCAACGGTGCACATTCAGCAATTAGCCTGAAGACAAAGAATGTCTTCATTGAATGCACAGCAACTGATTTAACCAAGGCCAAGGTTGTCTTGAATACAATGGTAAGGCAGTTCACAAAATCAACAGTCTCTATAGCAACTGATTAATGCTGCAATGATCATTCAGCATTCCCCTTTTTTCCCCCAGGTTACAGCTTTTTCTGAATATTGTGAAAGAAAATTTGAGATTGAGCCTGTTGAGGTTACATATGACAACGGAGAGTCATACATCTACCCTGATCTAGCTGTCTACGATATGGAAGTTCCTCTCTCTTATATCAAATCCATAACTGGACTCTCTTTAGATGTGGAAGAGGTAATGAAAGCGATCAAGTCGTTTTGTTACTGAACCATTCTCTTTTCTAGTATGATAATAATTAATCATTTTGGTTATGTGAAATGGTACATGTAAACCTCCAGGTTATAAATCTTCTGAAACGAATGCAATTGCACGCTGAACGTTCCATATCCAATGATAGTGTAAAAGTGCATGTACCCCCAAGCAGAAGTGACGTGCTCCACCCATGTGATGTTGCGGATGTAATTTTTCCATAGCCAATAACTTTATACGTTGATGATGGCATCTTTAGTGGTTTTGTGTACGTTAAATTAATGTTTTGGCTATATTTTTCGCCAGGATGTAGCCATTGCCTATGGTTACGATAACATTCTAACAACAAGGCCGTTTTGCATAAGACCCTTGCCTTTGAATGAGCTCACGGATCTTCTCAGATTAGAGGTTACTAGCACTTCCATTTGCTTTGTTTTATATACTTCTCTATTTTTCGTTTATATATTTTCATTTCTATCTCACAGATTGCGATGAATGTGTTCACTGAGGTTGTGACATGGATACTATGCTCGCACAAGGAAAACTTTGCTTTGTTAAATAGAGAAGATTACAATTCAGCTTGTATAGTTTCGAACCCACGGTCTGCTGATTTTGAGGTTCTTCTCAAAACTTATTTCCATTTTGAGGTTTTTTTTTCTTTCATATACTCATTGGTCGTTCCTGAAAATATTATTTCATTAAACAGGTAGTGAGAACGAGGTTAATGCATGGATTACTAAAGACAGTTGGTTCTAACAAAGACCACCCTAAACCTATCAAGGTAATTTAGTCAGCGCTTTGATTCGATTTACCTTCCTTTGCTGAATTTTTTGAGGTCTCTTTTCTTTTTGTTTGTTTCAAGATTTTTGAGATAAGTGATGTGACCTTATTGGATGAAACAAAAGATGTTGGTGCGTCGAATCGCCGCCATCTTACTGCACTACACTGTGGTGCTACTTCTGGATTTGAGGTATATTAGATTTTTTATTTCCTCTCTTTTTTCAATTCATTTTCTTGGCCATGAATGATACCTTAAAAAAATTCTGTAATTATTCAGCTTATACATGGTCTAGTCGATAGAATCATGGAAGTTATGGGAGTTCCGTTTGTACCAAACGGTGACAATACCGGGTACCATATAAACCGCTCTGAAGTAAGTTATTTTTCTACGAGTTAATTACAGTTGTCTTTGATTATAATTATCATACGTAGACACTCTAACTTTTCTTATTATTTTTTGCTCGAATATGTGATAGGAACCTGAGTATTTACCTGGTAGACAAGCTAGCATCATTTACAAAGGGAAACCTATTGGTAACTTTGGAATCGTGCATCCTCAGGTACACACTTGTTTCTTTTGATTGAAAATAAATAAAAACCAAGCGGTTTGGTTTGTGATTTAACCGCTCTGTTTTTTTTTTTATTGCTCTAGGTTTTGAACAACTTTGACATCACTGATCCATGTTCTTTCGTGGAGATGGACGTCGAAGCTCTTCTTTAAAAATATTCTACTATTTATGCATATGTGCTCAACAGTTACACTTATTGCTTTAGTTTGATTTGAGGATAAAGAGTATTATTCCTACAAAATCTTTAGCTTTGCTCGTTTGATGGATAAAACTATTTACATTTTTGCATAGATATTATTTTCACATTGGTTTAAATACTTCGCTATGAGCCTATGAAATTCAAATGGTGTTTTAACTTTATTCTTAAGTGTGAACTACAAATTTGATAACGAGTGCTATTATTATTTTTGCAATTCTTTATGCACACTACCGACCGATCAAAAAGGTAAAACACGTACGTTCTTGATATGTTGCTACGCGAAACAGCGTGAAGAAGGCTGTAAAAGCAACTATAAATGGGATACATAACTCACAGAATTTGAGATGTGTTCACACAAAGATTCAAAGTCAATACTTACTGCCACCCTGATGTTTCCACCACGATCGTATGTCGTTATGTAATAAAAGTATAAAACCAAAGAGTTGACCCAAGGAAAAGAAACGTGGCTAAATCACACCACATCTGCATGATTGCATTTTTGGTTACGTGTCGGTGTGTCGTTGGAATATTTTATCATTTTAAAACTTTAAAAAATGTGGCTATAAATAAAAGAGAGTTCAAGAGGACATCAAACATTCCAAAACTACAGAAACAGCTTCTTCTTCTTCTTACAAAGAACAATGGAAATGGCGATGAGTTTCGTGTATCCACCACCTCCGTCAATATTACTCAACACTATGAGCATCCTAGGCTTAGCCGCTCTTGCGCAGATAGGTTGGTCGGAAGTGAGAGGAAACCATCTCAAATACTCAAAATTCGCAGCTTCATCATCATCACCACAACCAAAAAAGCATCGATTCGGCAGCTTCTCAAGCCGAACCGGAATGCTTTTACTATACACACCAGCCTTCCTAGCCGCAGCAGCTTCTTTCTTCATCTTACCTTCCGATGATCTCCGCTTTCTTCTCCTCAAATCCGCACTTGCCCTCCATTTCCTCAAAAGAATCTTCGAGGTAAACCTTTTATCTCCTCTCTCTCAGACATTTCATCGAACACCTTATATTCATCATTTTTAAAGTTTCCTCTCTCTGACGTATTTCATCGAATTATGCTCATCATTTTTAAAGTTTCCTCTGTCTGAAGCATTTCATTGAACACCTTATATTCATCATTTTTAAAGTTTCCTCTCTCTGAGGCATTTCATCGAACACCTTATATTCTTCATTTTTAAAGTTTCCTCTCTCTGATGCATTTCATCGAATTATGCTCATCATTTTTAAAGTTTCCTCTGTCTGAAGCATTTCATTGAACACCTTATATTCATCATTTTTAAAGTTTCCTCTCTCTGAGGCATTTCATCGAACACCTTATATTCTTCATTTTTAAAGTTTCCTCTCTCTGACGCATTTCATCGAATTATGCTCATCATTTTTAAAGTTTCCTCTGTCTGAAGCATTTCATTGAACACCTTATATTCATCATTTTTAAAGTTTCCTCTCTCTGAGGCATTTCATCGAACACCTTATATTCTTCATTTTTAAAGTTTCCTCTCTCTGAGGCATTTCATCGAACACCTTATATTCTTTATTTTTAAAGTTTCCTCTCTCTGAGGCATTTCATCGAACACCTTATATTCTTCATTTTTAAAGTTTCCTCTCTCTGACGCATTTCATCGAACAGGTTCTGTGCATCCACAAATACAGTGGAGGGATGGCTGTAGACTCAGCTTTCGTCATAACCAGCAGCTACTTCTCATCAACGGTCTTGATGTTATACAGCCAAAGCTTCACACTTGGACAAACCGAGCCGCCTTTCGATCTGAAACTCCTCGGGGTTGTCATGTTTGTGGTGGGAATCGTTGGGAATCTGTATCACCATGTTCTGTTAGCTAAGCTAAGGAACGAAGAAGGTGGGAAGAAAGTTTACAAGATACCAAAAGGAGGTCTGTTTAATACAGTCATATGTCCTCACTACCTGTTCGAGATCATTGTGTTTTGGAGCTTCTTTTTGATCTCTCAGACAATTTATTCGTTTTCTTTCGCCATGGGAACTACTTTCTATCTCATTGGTCGGAGCTATGCTACGAGAAGTTGGTATCTTTCGAAGTTTGATGACTTCCCTAAGCATGTCAAGGCTCTTATTCCCTTTGTATTCTAGACATATGTTTCTATTACTAAATTCTTGTTCTTGATTTTTTTTTTTGTCAAAATTGCTTTTATATGTTTGTGATTTACATGAATAAAAGTTTATGATTTTAAGACGAGCCCAAGAAAGAAAAAATATATTATTGGGCCATGCTTTTGGAGCCTAATAATACGAGTGGGCTACGATTCGAGTTTTAAAGTATCTCAATCACCCATGTTAAATGTGAGCAACCTCCACGAACAATATCTATGAACAGACAGGACGTGTTTCCTAGTTATTTCGAAAGGATATCCACCTAGACGCAAATCAGTTATAAGAAAAATGATTTAAAAAGAAAAAAGATTAATGGATCTAGATGGCGATTAAATATCCGCATAGTTACTAATCTTCTATAAATCACCTAATTACCTTGTTATGTTAAGTTTAAGTGTAAACAAACAAAACTACTAAACCAGTGATAGATGTATCCAGATTTAAAGCATCTCCGACTCTATTCTATAATTTACCGTAAAGTGGAAGGAAAAATAGAGTGATAAAACAGAAATTGGATATAAATAGAATAATTGAATTTTTGTTTCTTCATTCCTTAATTTTCCACTCTTTTTTTGAGCAACCTCCACGAACCATATTTATGAATAGATAGGACGTGTTTCCTAGTTACTTCGAAAGGATATCCACCTAGACACATCAGTTATAAAGAAAATGATTTAAAAAGAAAAAAAGATTAATCGGTCTAGACGGTGATTAAGTATCCGCCCAATTACTAATCTTCTATAAATCACCTAATTACTTTGTTATGTTAAGTTTAAGTCTAAACAAATAAAACTACTAAACTAGTGATGGATGTAGACTTAAAGCATTTTCAACTTTATTATATGGAATGAGAAATAGAGTGATGAAAAAAAAATTAGATATAAATAGAGTAATTGGATTTTTATTTCTTTGTCCTTTAATTTTCTTTTTTTTTCCAGTAAATTATGGAGTGGAGATATAAATGTTCTTAAACTTTCAAGGAAACACGTTAAATGAAACGATATGATTGGGCCATCTCATACTATCTGAGAAAAATAATGGCATTGGCTAAGAATTGTAAACCGGTGATTTCTATCAAAACTTCTGCTTGAAAACTGAAAATATCAAACCATTCAAAAAACGGTTATTTTTGGGTGACCTTGGGAGAAGCTACAAGTTGAGCAGAAAATTCACGAGGTATGTCGAATCTAATGTGTAGATTGTTGGTTATGACTACGTGGTATCAGTTGGGAGATGAGCTAGCTAGTACCAAGTGGTTCAAGTTTAATATTTGACCTAGAAAGTGTATTGTAACGCAAGACAATTATTTTGATTGTCGCACATGAAAAGTTTACTTACCGTAGAACTGGATTCCAGTCACTTATTCAAAACCTTACTGCATCCAAAATAATTTGACGTTTTGACAAATTTATAAGGAAAAAGGGACATGGACGAGGTTAAATATAAACAACAAATACATGGTCGAGAATCATATAGACCTTTGTAAACCGTATATTCTTACTATTTTATTTTCTTGACACCACTCTGGTCGGATCTCATTTTCATAACTAGTAGTTTTATAATCAACTGTGATGGTTGTAGTGATCTCAAATCCAATTCTATCATATTGATATTTTACATCTCTAGATAATCTGATATCACGTTATATAATGCAATATAGTACTTTAATATTGATGAATCAATATGCAAGTCATTGCATGATCTAAATATTAGTTTAAAACAAAACCAACGAAGGGTCGAGGTCACCATATATACAATTCGGTAGAACTCACAAAATTAAACCAAGCAAACCGGTTTTCACCCTACCTCTAACACAACACTCTTCCCTCACTTAGTTACCCACATGCACACATACACACACGCGTGGTACGTGCATACATACATTTGAACCTGGCACTGTTTGAAAACTTTTATTTTGGATTAATCATGCCAGCAAAGGAGCATGACCACACATCTTCTGATGATGTAAATCCTCCCCTTCTGTTCTTTCATATACTTCCCCAATCTTTTACATATTGATCTCTTCTTCTGCTTTGATGTCTCTGAGCTCATCACGACCCTCTTTGTTTCCATAATTTGATATAACAATGGGTGAACAGTTGCGTAGGTAATGAGACTTGTTTCTGTCTTTTTAAGAATAAGCTAAAAAGCAAATTTGTTTTGGTAATTTTAGACTGATATATAGAGAAGAAAGAGCTTTGGATAATATAAGAGAACTGATTTGAAGGAGAATTCACTTGTGGATGTATATAGGTATATATAGAGGGAAGTCGGTGCATGCATGCATGGTTACAATTCCAGTCAATATTATATACACATCCATCACCCAAAATACAATACAAATGTCTAATTAGAAAATAAAAATATACTTGCATTCATTTAAAATAATACGATTAGATAAGAGACCGTAACAAAATACATATGTATGATATTTTTTTAAAATAACTGTACTAGATGCAGATAATCAAACAAAGTTACAGTTTTAATCCTATTAATTTATGTTTATTAATTAGGGAGGATTAAATCTTGTATAAATTTAAAGTGCACTAATAGGAATATTTTTAATTAATATACGTGAAAAATCTTTAAATACACTTAAATAAAAACGAAATATATCTATATATATTAATAATGACTTCATCAAACCCAACAAAATTGGAACTTGGGCTGATCAGTGAATATTATAAGTGTTGTCAATTGAACCAAACTAATACGACTATCAAACTAAGTGCATGTAAAACACAATACCACGTGTCTTTTCTCGTGTTCCACCATGCAATCAAGCATAACTTGAACCTGGCCTTGTTTCAAAGTCTCCAGTGCTGAACCATACAACTTAACCGTCTTAGTGTACTAGACATATTCTCAACTAGATGTTACCTCGCGGGGTCATTCCTTTTGGAGATTTCTGTTGAAAAATTATCTTTATTCAGTGGATTAATCTGGTTGACGTTCAAATACTCAATCAGTATCAATATTTTTTTTTTATATATAGTACTTGCAAGAAGTACCACAATTCAATGTGATTTTTCGTAAGAAAATTGATCCAGAAGACTCATTTTAATCCCAGTAAGTTACTAGAAGTTATCAAAAATGTAATGTTTTGGCCGACCCAAACAATGCAATTTTTTTGAAGCAAAGAAAAAAAAAGAACTGTACAGAGACAAGTCTTGAAATTGTATGTTTCTCCAAATTCATGATGTTCCCTCGTTTCCTAATCCACTTGAAATATAATTTTTCTAGTCAGATCCACTTGTAAACCCTTTCTAAATACTTGTTATTAAACAAGCAAAAAATGTAATCGTGAAATGTAAGAAAAGATAATTAAAAAGGTATAGGAACGGAGATGTGGAGTCAACCACACGTGACATTCGCGTGACTGCATGCTAACTGTTTGGCATATTGCAGACAACTTGTTTATCTTGTCTCCTGACTAATATTGATGTGATTAATATTCTGATTGATAATTAGTAGCACACAAATTATTGACTAGATGTAATCAGCGAACTTGAACATGATTTAAATATCATTAGGCCGTATCTTTGCCTTGGATTAATCAAAGATTGTGTCCGCGATTAAAAACACAGTATGGTTCAACGCATCAAGTACTAGTTTCGTCTCTGTTATAACAAGTTTGGTTAACTAATCATTGGTTATAGACTTTATAGTAGGGTGATTAGTTTCTGTTTTATGAAGCATCCGATATTTTGGAAGTAGTGGACACCTCATATATATATATATATATATATATATATATATATATATATTGATACATAAAAACAACTGTTACAAAATTGAAGATATTTCTCTCTAGTTATCTTATTATATAAAGCTTGGTTTTCAAAGTAACTAATTAACATGATTATGACATGTGGCAATTATATATCTAAGATTATGACATATGTTAAATCATAATTTTCTTTATTTTTTCTTAAATACTTAATCTAAACGAATTTATGTTTTTTCTTACAATTTTCCTTCTTAAAAATACACTTAAACTAAACAAATTTAAATATAACTTTCCTTTTTAAATACTCAAACTAAAAACGAATTTCATTTTTTCTTTAAATCATAACTTTCCTTTTTAAATACTCAAACTAAAAACGAATTTCATTTTTTCTTACAATTTTATTTATAAAAAATACTCAAACTAAACAAATTTATTTTTTTCTTAAAAATAATTATTTAATAGTAATTTTTCCTTTTTAAGTTAAAAAAAAAAGAATTCAAAATTTTTCTTAGAAATAGTTATTAATAGTAATTTTTATATTGTTCTAATTTTTACAAAATATTGTAAACAAACAAAAAACCGATATTAATATTAGTATTTATTTTCCTAAGCATGGGTTTAAAATAATTACAAAGAAAAACAGTATTTTAAGTTTTATATACAAAATAAAATCTTAAAAATTCTTATAAATATAATAGTATTTTAGATAATTAACTATTTTTATTATTTTCATATAATTAACTATTTTTTATGGAAGCCCATTGGTGTAGGTTTGACTAAAGATTATTTTTTTTACATTATCAGGTCCATGTTTTGAGTTTGTGAGAAGGAAAATTATCAGTTTACTGAACAAAATGTTTATAAGATAATTTTAGCATTGTACAAAAAATATGTATGGTGTGAGTCCTATGTAAAACTTATGGGGATGTAGACGTGAATCCTTATAAAATGCGTACAATTGTTGACTGTAGAACGCTTATGTAATTTCTTTCACAATTTGTGTTAATATAATTAACCACAGATAACAAAACTATAATTTTTTTATATCATCGATACACATTGATATTTATCTATAAGGTTTAAAACTAATATATAGTTACAAATAAATAAATATATCGATATATACTGATCTATTATTAAAGTTTAAAACTAATCAATTTTCTTCAGTTACAAAATTGAAGTAATAGTCGATGATGGAAATTATTTGATGATAATAATATAGATATAACTGGAACAACTATGGAAGAACTAAGATTTAAATATTAAAAATATAATAATCTGTGCATGCTATTTGTGTTATTATAATTTTATCTACTAATCAATATTGACAGTTTAAAATAAACACACTTGA